CTAAGACTCCTGTATAGTCCTTGGAGAAACAATGGATAAGGAACGCATAGCTTCATGAATCACTGTTTGTCTGTCACTTTGTCGTACTGTGGTAGCATGCAGTAGCTGTGATGTTGGAAGCTATGCCAATCATATTTTTAATTTTATTTTAAGTTTTTATTGTGGATTGAGTGAAAGTTTACAGGGCAGATTATCAATTTTACATTCAACAAATCATACAACTAGTTTCATCACAATGCCAATTGTATTGTAAACACCAGCAGAGTACACCCATAATGCACAGATTTTAGCTAATCTTCCAGACTAAGACAGACTAGGAAGAAGGAGAGACAGACTACTTCTGAATGTTTAGCCACTGAAAACCTTATGAATAGCAGTGGAACACTGTCAGATAGCACCAGAATATTGAATATTGAAGTATGATGAAGACCACTAGATATCATCAGATATATTGCCAGAAGATGAGTCCCTCAGGTGGGAAAGCACTCAAAATATGCCTGGAGAAGAGCTGTCTCCTCAAAGTAGAGTTGATTGTAACAACATGAATAGAGAAGCTTTTAGGACCTTTGTTTGCTGATGGGGCATAACTCAAAATAAGGAGAAACAGCTGTAAACATCCATTAATGATTAGAGCATGGAATGTACAAAATATGAATCTAGGAAAATTGAAAGTTGCCAAAAATGAAATGGAATGCATAAAAGATCAATATCCTGGGCAATAGCGAGCTGAAATGGACTGATATTGGCCATTTTGAATCTGACAATCATATGATTTACTATGCCAGTATCGACAAATTGATGAGAAATGGCATAACATTCATCATCAAAAAGAACATTTCAAGATCTGTCTTGAAGTATAATGCTTTCTGTGATAGAATAATATCCATATGCCTACAAGGAAGACCAGTTAATACCACTATTATTCAGATTTATGCACCAACCACTAAAGCCAGTGGTGATGAAATTGAAAAATTCTACTAACTTTTCAGTCTGAAATTGATCGAACATGCAATCAAGGTGTATTGATAATGACTGGTGATTGGAATTCAAAGGTTGAAAACAAAGAGGAAGGATCAGTAGTTGGAAAATATGGCCTTGGTGATAGATGTGATGCTGGAGATTGTATGATAGAATTTTGCAAGACCAATGACTTATTCATTGCAAATACCATTTTAAACAACATAAAAGATGGCTATACACATGGACTTCACCAGATGAAATACACAGAAATCAAATTGAATACATCATCAGCCAAACCAAGGTCAAGGGCAGACCTTCAATTGCTCATATGCAAGTTCAGGCTGAAGCTGAAGAAAATTAAAATAAATCCATTGGAGCCAAAATTTAGCCTAGAACATAACTCACCTGAATTTAGTGATCATTTCAAGAACAGATTTGATGAATTAGATACTAATGACTGAAGACCAGAAGAAGTGTGGGATAACATACAGGAAGAAAGCACAAAAGGTCATTAAGAAGATAAGAAAGAAGGAAAAGACTACAATGAATGTCAGAAAAGATGCTGAAATTTGTTCCCCAGTGCAGAGATCCTAAAGCAAATGGAAGAAATGAGGAAGTAAAAGAGTTGAACAGAAATTTCAAAGCTCAGCTCGAGAACACAAAGTATTATAATGAAATGTGCAAAGACCTGGAGTTAGAAAACCCAAAAGGAAGAACATACTTAGTATTTCTCAAGCTGAAATAACTAAAGAAAAAATTCAAGTCATGACTTAAAATATTGAATGCTTTTATGGGCAGTTTTTGAATGATGTAGAAAACATTAAAAGAAGAGATAAGGAATATACAGAATTATTGTACCAAAAAGAAATTGTTGATCTTCAGCCATTTCAAGAGAAAACATATGATCAAGAGCCATTGATATTGAAGGAAGAAGTCCAAGGTGCACCAAAGGTATTGATAAAGAACAAGACTCTGGGAACTGATGGAATACAAATTGAAATCTTTCAATAAATTGATGCAGTGACTGGAGTCACTCACTCTACGCCAAGAAATTTGGAAGACAGCTATCTGGCCAACTGATTGGAAGAGATCTATATTTGTGCCCATTCCAAAGAAAGATGACTCAACAGAATGGGGAAATCATCAGACAATATCATCGACATTACATGCAACTAAAATTTTGCTAAAGATGATTTTAAGAAAATGGCTGCAACAGTGTATTGATAGGGAATTGCCAGAAAATCAAGCCAGATTCAGATAAGAACGTGGAACCAAGGGGTCAGATGGATCTTGGCTGAAAGCAGAAAATACCAGAAAGATGTTTACCTGTGCTTTGTTAACTATGGTTGTGTGGATCATGACAAGCTATGGACAACATTGTGGAGAATGAGTATTCCGGAATAATTAATTGTGCTCATGATGAACTTGTGCATAGATCAAGAGGCAGTTTGAACAGAACCAGGAGGCACTGAATGGTGTAAAATCAGAAAAGGTGTGTGCCAGGGTTGTATTCTTTCACCATACTTACTCTGTCTGTACACTGAACAAATAATCTGAGAAGGTGGATTATATGAAAAAGAACATGACATCAGGATTAAAGAAAGACTCGTTAACAACCTGTGATGTGCAGATGATACAATCTTGCTTGCTGAAAGCCAAGAGGACTTAAAATACAGATAGAAAACAAAGTCCACAGCCTTCAGCATAGGTTGCAACTCAATGTAAAGAAAACAAAAATCCTCACTGCTGGACCATGATAAATGGAGAAAAGATTGAAGTTGTCAAAGACTTCATTTTGCTTGGATTCACTATCAACATTCATGGTAGCAGTAGTCAAGAAATCAAATGTAGTATTACATTAGGCAAATCTGCTGTACAAGACCTCTTTAAAGTGTTTGAGAACAAAGATGTCATTTTGAGGACTGAGGTGTGCTTGACCTAAACCATGGTATTCTGAATAGCTTTATAGACAGTAAATAATGAAGAACATAGAAGAATTGATGCATTTGAGTTATGGTGTTGGAAAAGAATATTAAAAGCACCACAGACTGCTAGAAGAATGAACAAATGTGTGTTGGAAGAAGTACAACCAAAATGTTCCTTAGAAACCAGGATGGTGAGACTTTGTGTCTCATGCTTTGGACATATTATCATGATGGACTAGTCCCTGGAGAAGGACATCATGCTTGCTAAAGTGGAGGGTCAGAAAAAGGGGATGATGCCCAAGTTGAATTGGCACAGCAGCAGCAGCAAAAGGTTCAAGCTTAACAATGACTGGAGGATGGTGTAGCATCGGGCATATTTTGTTCTATTGTGCACAAGGTCAGTGTGTGTCAGTACAGACTCGATGGCACCTAAAAACACCAACATCAAAACGTTCATGGACAAAGGAGACTTCCCTTTGGAACAGGTGTCTATCAACAGACTCAGTCAAGGGGCCACTTCCCATAATTGTTTGATTTCTCTCTGATTGTTAGATTTCCTGCTCCCTTCCCACAATGGGCGAAATCTCAGATCTAAAGGCAGCTTTCTCCTACCTCCAGGCCTATTCAAACCCAGAGTTTAATCCCTGCTCAGTGCCTGGGGGTTGTATACTCTGCCCACTCCAGCAAGATATGTAGCCTCCCACATATCTCCTTCCACTAATGAGGAAAAAGAGGTAAAAATAAGGAGCTACAGGGAAAACTAAACATGGAAGAAATGAGGAGAGGTGACGTGGGAGACAGCCCTATACCCTTGTTTACATTTGTGTTGCATTTGCATCATGCACCCCAGTTCCTTGGGGTCGGGGGGATGACCACAGATGATCTGACAACCTCTAGGCAGTTTGGTGAAGTCCTCAAAGGACTGTAGCTATTTCTGGGGAAGACTGGGAGACCTGAGATCTCTAAGAGAAGAGTCAGACTCAGAGGCTATCTCCAGACAATGGGGGCAAGCCCAGCACTACGGGAAATGGCTCTGAGTTGCATATTTTAGCACCTATAACAACAACAACATCTGCTTATTGCAAGGTTGGCAGTTTAAATCTACCAGCCACTCCAAGGGAGAAAGAGGAGGTTGTCTGCTCTTCTGATTCTGATTTAGTCTCAGAAACCCTGAGGATAGGGTTCTACTCTGTCCTATTGGATCGCTCTGAGTCTCAACTGACTTGATGCCAGTAGTTGATGCTTTAAAAACCGATTTTAGGTTCCGATTTTGGGTTTTAGTCTCAGAGGAGTCCCTGAGCAGTGGGCTTGTTGTTGTTGTTAAGTGTCATCGAGTTGGTTCTGACCCATAGCGACGCTGTATAGGGTTTCCGAGGAGCAGCTAGTGAGCTTGAACCACCGACCTTGCTGTTCAAACGGCTTTGCAGTGTGGCGCATTAACCCACAGTGAGCGGTGGTGTACTTGCCTGGTGACTAAAGGCTGGAGATTTACATCCACCTAGGGGTTACGAATCGGGCTGCGAAACCTTAAGGTCAGCGGTTCGAAACTACCAGCCGCTCCGCGGGAGAAAGATGAGGCTTTCTACTCCCGTAAAGATTTACACCCTCGGAAACCCTGTACAGGGTCGCTATGGGTCGGACCCGACTCGATGGCACTTAACAACAACAACAACAAGGGGTGCCTCAAAAGACAGGCCTCATGATCTACTTCAGGAAACTCAGCCATTGAAAACCTGACAGGCTGCGACACACCTGGGATCACCATGAGTAAGAGTTAACTGGATGGCAACAGGTACAGAAGTACCCCCTCTGTCCCCATGAGCGTTCTGCACTACAATTCCATAGTATTTAGGCTTGGTAAATGGGGACATGATGATGGGAAGCCTGGCTGTAATGAACTCTGTACCTAGACTTCTGCTGGGTGTCCCATTAGGCTTCTACAGGAAGGTGCTTTCTTGCTACCTCAGCTTTGCCCAAAAGGGTGAGGCAGTAAGTCACTCCTATGCAATTGCTGTGCCTGAGGGGAGTATTAACTCTGGACTCAGAGAAGGCTTGGTGTCTGAAAGCCTGTGACAGAGTGGCATTGGCAGTGAACATTCTCATCCACAAACATACCCACACCTCATACATGGTGCCTTTAAAGAGCTCCAGAGGCAGTAGCATCATCTACCAGATTAGAATGCTGCCTTTATTATGTACAATATTGTTGTTAAGCGCCATTGGTGGAGTTCATGCCTACTTACATCGTTGTTAAGTGCCATCAAGTTGGTTCCTACTCATAGTGACCCTGTATAGAAGTGGCTGGTGAGTTTGAACTCCTAACCTTGTGGTTCAAACTGACCTTGTGGTCCAGTGCATTATCCTGCAGTGACCCTGTATAGGGTTTCTGAAGAGCAGTTGGTTGGTTTGAACTGCTGGCCTTCTGATTCAAACTGATCTTTTGGTTTAGTACTTACCCTATAGCACAACATCAAGACTCCTGTAAGGGGATTACGGTGATTCATTGTGCATGATACTGAGCATGGAGTCCTGGTGTGGCACTGTAGGATAAGCACTGGACTGCTAACCACAAAGCCAGAGATTCAAACCCATGAGATACTACTCAGAAAGCCTATATGGGGGCCCTATGAACTGGAACTGACTTGATGACACTTAACAACAATACACTTACAACTGATTGACTGATTATATTTGATCTCATCATGGGGGAATGATTACATAACTGCCGAATTGCATCATAACATATCTGCTAAATCCCTGAGAATCATGACCCAGCCAAGCTGACACATAGTTTGGGGGACCACAAGTCAATCTGTCTGCAAAAACTATGTGGGAACCATATATATATATATATATCTGACTTCCACTGGTTTCACAAGGGGAAAGGAGAATCAGACTCGAAACCAGCCCAAGGCTGATTCCTATGAAGTGGAGGTCAGCCATGCCTGTACCCTCCAACCTTCTTTACCCTATTCTGACAGCAGACATGCCTCACTCTTGTCTTCGGCTTCTCAGACATGTGGCCCCTTGGCCTCTGCCCTGCTTGGGTAAATCTTACAAAGCTATTTTAGCCAGTCTGTGAATATCCAAACACTCAGCTTTACTCAGTCCATGGACCTAGATGCCTACAGCTGTTCCATGTCGCTGCTTTTCCAGGTAGGAATCTCACACTCCACTCATGCACTGCCTTCCTGATGGTTCTGTGATCATCTGTTACTGCTTCTGAGATGGCTCTTTTAAACCCAGTGGGATGGCAAAACTAACTAATCCCAGCATGGTCCCACCCAATCACTTGATGGAAATTGAGACATTGGAAATTAAGACATTGAAATTAAGACATCAAGTAAATTCAAGGCACCACACTATGACAGCTACCAAGTGGAATGACTGAATACATTAAATAAGGTCATTTAAAAAATGCCTAGCATAGTGCTTAGCACATAAGGAGCGGCGCATTCTTCTTCCCTTGTTGAAGGTGGCACCACTGATAAGTTATAAAGCTCATTGTGTCTAAAACATTGGTTAAAATACAACATGTTGTTGTTAGGTGCTGTCCAGTCGGTTCTGACTCATAGCCACCCTGTATGGGTTTCCAAGGAGCGGCTGGTGAATTTGAACCTTGTGGTTCAAACAGACCTTGTGGTCTATTGCTTATCCTAACTCCAACATGTTGTTATTGTTGTTAAGTGCCGTTGAGTCAGTTCTGGACCACAGTGACCCTGTATAGGGTTTCTGAGGAGAAGCTGGTGAACTTGAACTGCCGACCTTGTGGTTCAAACTGACCTTGCAGTCTCATTAACACACAGTGCCACATGAGGACTCCATATATCAACATATCAATATAAAATAGACATGAGGATTTTATGAGACCAATAGGCATTTCCCACATCTATACACAGACTCCAGCAAGCTACTAATGACCTGTGGCAGAGATGGCTAATAAAATGGTTCACCAAAGCAATCTTGTCTTCTTCCTGGGCACACAGCCAATGGAATTTAGGTGGAAGTGACATGACCCATCTTTGGGCCTGGCTCATAATTACTTTCTGCTCAATATCTCATATTGTCTCTTCCCAACACAGAGGACCCAGGGTAGAACCTCAAGACTAGAGGTTGGCAGAGTATCCAGAGGGAGGGAGCCCAGACCCCTGAATGAGTGCACAAGCAGAGCCCCTCCCAACTGCATTGCTCTGAAGATAGGAGGGAGTTACCATGTTCACCTACAGCTGATTGGATAAAGAGAACATATGAGGACAAAATGCTGTTGTGGAAATTGTCTTTAAAATGTATCACATGTAATAACATGCTAAAACATAAAACAGAAACCACCTAAATCCATCAAAGTGGATTGCGTAAAAACAAAATTTATATAAATATTGCCTCAAACGGCACCTTCTCAGTGACGCTTTCCTTGGCCAGTTTCTAAAATTTTGCCCTGATATTTTATATTCTCTTTTCTGATTTGGTGTCCCTATGGGATAGGCTGTAACTGCAAGGTTGGCAGTTCAAACTTACCTGAGAGAAAGATGAAGCTGTCTGTTCCCATGAGGATTTACAGTCTCAGAAACACTATATAGGGTCTCTATGAGTTGGAATTGACTCCATGGTAAGGGATTTTGTTTTTGTCTTTGCTTCATTTTTCATTCTTGGACTAATCGCTATCTTTAAAAAAAGATACAACCAAACCCACTGTTGTTGAGTTGATTTCAACTCAGCAACCCTCTGAAGGGTTTCCAAGGCTGTAAATCTTTATGGGAGCAGAAATTCTCATCTTTCTCCTTCAGAGAAGCTGGTAGATTTGAACTGCTGACCTTGCAATTAGCAACCTAACACATTACCCACCACATCATCTGAACTCCTTACCATGACACCACATATCTAACTATGTGTGTTACTTACTACTGTATTATCGGTTGCTAAAACCAAACAAGAGAGAACAAACAAGATGGCGGATCGGGTGGAAGT